AAAACAGCGCATAAACTAATAAATATACAAAATAAACGATATTATAGGAAAGGCATTTTCATTCAAATTTTTACGTAAACTTTTTAAATTATAAATTATATAGACAAAAACGTGAAGGTTCCAATGGATCGAATAATTCTTATAGCGTTTGGCATTTTCTATTTTCGGCGGTAACGGAGCCAACCTACAATCGCTCAACCTCAGAACCCGAAGGCAAAATAAAATCGCCTACCGTAATCGTTTTCGCCGCTAACCAATCCATCTTATTTTTGGTGTCACATTTTCCGAAGATCTCCATAAGTAAGTATACTTTACTGCTTATTTATACTAAACCAAAATTTTAAATAACATGTAATATCATAGCTAAGGCCAAGGGCATTCGATCATATTTCTAGCTATGCGTTGGCAAGCTATACGCGTAAGACAGTCTTATAGTACCCATAAAATGAGCTTTTCTAACATTTTAAAAAAACGGAAATTTTTTAATTCTTCGATTTGTAATATTAATATAAAATAACTTACCCATAATTCTAAAAAAAAAGAATAATTCGAAATTAACGAAATAAGAACGCAGACGATATTATAAATTTCGAAGACCAATCCTTTAGTTTTAGAACTTATTTACAATTTTGAATGACAGCCTTAATTTAAGCAAGGGACGCGCACGCGTTACGTTTTTTTTATATTATTTTTATTTCGTTCATAGGTTTCCGTTTATAGACTAGAAAAGCGCTGATTTGATTAAAACTATTTTTGCCCCCCCCCCCGGCCTTTCCCACTACCGATAAAAATTAATGATCCAATTAATCGCAAAAATCCCATTAAAGTTTGCACAGCCGAAAACTAGTGTTTTTAAATTACCGACCACCTCAATTGCGGATTAATCAAACTTTTTAGCCTAAAAAATTGATCGAAGATTGATCGTGGTTAGAAACATGGCCACGCTGTTTTATAGTTGAAAAGTTAGGTAATTTAACAACACTACCGAAAACAAATATATTCGTATCCATCGTGGTTCTAATGAACTGTTAGGGGAGAAGGTAGGGAAATCCCTAATCAAGCCCCTCAGCCAAAAGATCCAGCATCAACCTTAGAAGGTCATTTCGACCAATCAAACACGAGCTTCTAAATCTCGCGTTACAATTTTTTAAATTAATCTATAAAGGATATACATGGCCATCATCGGAAGAGAAATATCTAAAAAAAATATATTTTTATAATTGCGATAATTATATTTTATAAATTTCATGTATTTTATGATAATAAATTGATTATTACAAAAAAAAATAAAATAATTACTACAGAAACGCCTAATTTTTATTGTACATATACAAACGATGACAATGATTTTAAAAACTATTCACCACATGTTTCTTATTCTTTTGTTTCGCGACGTAAAATTTGAACTTAAAAACAACAACAAAAAAGTATAAGTAAAAAGTTTCCAAAAGACTAGGGGTAGATCTACTATTCTACCTGTTTTAATAAATATCCTCTAGGAAAGGCTAAATTTATCTATTTATTTTTCACTTTAGGGCTAGGTCGTCCGAAGTTGTTTTATCGCTGTCCTTTGTAAAAAAAAATCGAAATTTTAAAAAGTAAAATTTCTTACCCGAAGTAGGATCGTATTTTACCCAGACCCTAAAAAACCCCTTTTCCGGGAGTTAGGAGCGGTTAAAAGATTAACGCGGAGAAGACGTAATATTATAGCCCAACGAAATGTTGATAAATTATAATTAGTACTTAAAAGTATGCCTAGAATATTGCTAAAAAAACAACAGGGATTTGAAATCGTTAATCAAAACGTTTCAGTTACAATTCGGAGATCTTTTTTTGAACAAATTTATATATCAACTCATTCAGGATTCAGAAATTCGCATGGGTCTCCTTTTGCAGTTCAGTACTATTTTTACAAGTTTTGAATTTATTAAATTGAATTATCTAATAAGTTGGAATTTATGTATTTTATTATATAAAAAAACGTTAACCACCTATATAAATATTTATATAAATGAAATATAATTCCGTTAAAAATAATGTTCAAAAATACGATACCCACCCCCCATTATAAAGAACAAAATAAAATAATGATTTTTAAATACGGGTGGTGGTTATACAAACCGATTCGAACGCACTTTACGACAGTTCGGTGTTCTCTTCTTTCGAATACCTTTCTTTCTTTATAACTATTCGGTAGCGGTTACGATAAAATTTCGAGTTTGGGCGTAGCGCAAAATATAGGTCTTAAATTGATTTTTGATTCATGGGAAGAAACAAAAAAAAATAATATATCTTATCGTGTTACATTGTTATTTATGTCGTATGGGGATTAGGAATCTCTGGAATTTGAATCCTTTTACCGAGCGCGTTCTAGAAGAATTTTAGAATCCGAGTTAACCGGAAATGGATTCTAAGCATGTGTAGAGTCTTTAACCCTATGAATTTCAACCAATTTCAGCCATAGACATTTTGGTATATTTTTTTTTGTTAAATTTATATGAAAAAAATCCATTAAATAAAGATTAATATAAATTAGAAGTAGTTCTAGTTCTAAAATTTCTTTGCAAAATTGTTTGAAATTTTACAGGTTGGGTAACTCTACACATGCTAGAATACATTTCCTGTAAAATCAGATTTTCTAAATCTAAAAATTCGCCCCAAGAGATTCAGAATGCCCACGGATTCCAGATCCCTATAAGACATATATATATATAGTACAATTAAAATATATTGATAAAGATTAATCATTTTCTGTATGTATATATATATATATCGATTAATTGATTTATGTGTTCTACATAACTATTTATTAAGTAATATCTATATATATAATAACGATATAATATTTTAAGCATCATAAATTAATAAGATTTAATATTATATTGTATTATGTATAAAGAGGAATGAAATGAAATAATTTGAAGATTAAATTGGGTGAATGAGTTAACTGATTTATGAGTGTTGTCAAATGGCTTATTCATAAAAAATAAGAACCAATCAAAGTCAAGGGTGTCGAATCGCACCGTAAGTCGTGATAACCGGGTCCGAGCCGTTATAATAGGTTCGAATAACGGTTTTTTTAAATTATATCTATCTATTCATTTTAAAAGGGTCGGTATATGATTTTAAAAATATAAATGGTATTCATATAGTTAAGTTTAAGTTACTTCTTCTAAAAACCGGAAAAAAATCTAAAAAAAGGAACTGTTAAAAATCTCCGAATAGTTCCATAATAACAAGGGTAAAAAAAACTAGGCAAATAAAATAAGAACTGAACCGAAACATGACAGTTGGACATTCTGTCAATCAACTTATCCTTCTTTCCTCCCTTCTTCTCCACCTATCATACTAATTTTGTATTGAGTTTCCCTTTTTATCCAGTTTTGCTGCGAGATGAAGTGAAATTAAAAATGCCACATCATTATTAAAAAATGTTTAAATATTAGAAGGATAATTATAATAACTATTAGCTATTGGGCATAAATAATATTATGAATGAATACACAAAAAAAAAGATTTTTTGCTAAAAAAACCGAGGCATAATTTATTTTTAGATCTGGATTTAATATTATAATAATTTTTGGAGTTTGTTTTCTATTTGTTTGAAATCTTAGCTGCAACCCCCCCCCCCCCTCCTTACTCTAAACAATATAAAACGTATATGTTTTATTGAATTGGTAATTTTTATATTTTGGTCGATACTTTAAAATAATTGTGTGGAAATAAATTATTAAGTATTGATTTCCAAAAAAAATATTTATAATTTTAGGGTATAGTTGGTTAAAATAATTATCGCAGTTTAATGAAATCTGAAAGGGTGACTTTCTCATTTTAATTGTTTACAGTTGTTATAATTCGGTATATGTTTTTGGTTGGTTAGAGGAGAACTGGGAGACATAGGTAATATTCCACATGTTTCCTTCTAAACCAATAGATATTTGTAAGGTCATCAACAGACACAGCTAGGTGAACAAGAGTTGGACTAGACCTTATTAATTTGAGATTATCAAGATAATAGATGTGGCAGCTGAACCCCTTATGAATACATGGTAGCTAGGCCATGCCTACTTTTTAGAGTCTGACTCTTTCCCAAACCCTTTATATTTATTCGGTAGAAATACATTAAGCACCTGGACCTGTTTCTATCCACAATTTTGTATTAAATATTTTAGAGTATTTAATAAAGGGATTATTATGTGCTAATTTCTCAAGGTTAGCCAAATAGTAACGGAGAAAGTTTCCATGTCAGGGACTGCAAAAAATTAATGATAAAATTTGAAGGAAAATTTGGTAGATATATTTCCCAAATAATCAGTAATAATAATATTTTTGTATAACAAAAAAAATGATTGTTTTGTTTTAACAAGTTTTTTCATTCTTATAACTCCCTAGGTAATTATTAAATAAATATAATTTTCCCCAATAGCATATTAGGTTTGATTAAAAAGATATAGAAAGCGATTATTCTGATTAATCTGATTACTATTAAGAAAATGTTATGGTAACTCAAAAAATCTCAAGTATATACCTGGATTAAATATTTTTTAAAAAATTCAAGCCCAGAAGTCGAACAATATCTAAACATCATTTATTAGGAAATTTTGTACAAAATAAGGTAACTATCCTATAAAAGATAAATATTTATTTATACTGAAGATCTCTAAATGTTTTAGGGAACTATTTTTTAAATCATTCTTGCCATTAAAAAAAATAATATTCATTTTTATTATTCAAAAACATCAAATCCTTATATTCAATAAAATTTTTCATGTAAAACCATATAATAAAAGAGTAATTTAAATTAATTTTATTTAACCAGTGAGGTAACATTCATTATTCAGAAAATAATGGTTTTTATAATAAGTTTAATTATAACTTGTTTTCACATCATAATATGCAAATTTTTGATATACTATGCAAATTTAAAGTATATATTATAAATTTTTGTAAAGATTAATTTAGATATTTGTTAGATTTTTTATTTTCTAACAAATACTTACTAAAAATATGGCCGATAATATTCCCAGAAAAATCCGCAAAACTGATATCATCACACTCGATTTCATTTTGGTGGAATACGAATAATGTGTTAATATAACATCCAAGAGGTAATTAGGGATATTTTATAAGATAAGATTAAATTAATAGTAAATAATATTAATATTCAAATATGATTTAAATGTGGGCAGTTAAATATAGATAAATAGATTTTTTTACTAATTAGCAGTTCTGTAAAGTTATGTTGATATTATAACGTCGATACTAACTCTTAAATCTTGTATATCAGTTATCTTTAAATGACAAATATAGCTTATATACTTAAGCGTTGATAGTTTTTGAACATTATATAACATTATTCTTTCAATAGTGATATATATATTTCAAAATAAAAATTAACTTTAATTTTAATTTTAATGAAAGGTAACAATTTAACAGAATCGAAATATTTTTATTATAAAATGTGAACTTAATTTATATATAAGCCATTTATATTTTTAGACTGAACCCAAACTTCGTTATCTTTCTGAGGAAATGAAACGCCATTTGTTATTTTAAAAGATGTTAAATGAGTAACGAGTTCCTTTTTTTAGTAAAGGTAACACAAAATTACTCGTTACTTATTTTAAATGTGGAAAAATATTTTTATTTTTATATATTATGTTTATTTTAATTTTATAAATAATTTAAGCCTAGTTTTTATTTCAGATTTTTTTATTTGATGTATTTTTTGTTGAATTGAATTAATATTATATCAATCTAGGCAGTGCCTGATGAGTGGTAGCATTTTGCTTTCAAATTTTTTGAAGGGGATTAGGGGGTAGCCATATAAGAGTATAGGCTAGGGATCGAATAAATTTTTTTTGAGATAAAATTAAATTTTTAGATAAAAAACTTCAACATAATAAATAAGGAAAAGATTAAGCTCATAAGCAAGCTTAACATTGCCCTAATAAACATGGTCATTGAGGCAGACGAACTAGAGTTTGATGAGAGTAAGTTAGAGAAGACACCCTCAAGTCAGTTTGGAAGCTGAGATGGTAATAAAATATATAAATTCAATAAGAACTATAAAAAAAATACAGAAGATACAAAACAAATCAATCGACAAGACAACAAATTGATCGTATAACGATCTAGGCAACAATTATACGGCTATCAATTTGATATTCAAAACAATAATCGTGTCCCAAGATGTCAAGATAATTGGGGTTATTGCTATTGCTGAGGTGAAAAAACTAATTGTGGTTTACCAAGGTTTTATCCGAGACAAATTACAATAACTCTGTATTAAAAACTGTAGAGATTATAATACTAGATAACACGAGAATTCTAGCTATAATCTAATGTCGAAATATGATGGTAGATACAATCAAAATTACATAAACTGCTACAGTACTGACACATCAACAGCGTCTACATGAGCGGGAGGGGTAGGAACAGTTTGCATCCTATTTATTTGAGGGGGTAGGCGGCTTTAATGGGGGTAGGATAAATTTATTTTTGGGTATATCTATTAAATTTTGAGATGAAATAGGACAAAATTTATTGCTGTAAATACTTTATAGAATTATTATAATAGAATTCATCGACCAAATCTATATATTGCAAACAATCATACATATTGTTTTCCAAATAAACTATCCTTTTAAATGTAATTTAAAAGGTTTAGATATTTCAGCAAGCTCATAATGCCATAATAATTAATTTATTGTTCTTTATATTCACAAAATATCAATAGTTGGTAGTAGAGATTAATTTAAGTTATCCTTTATAAATTCTTTGAAAGACTATCAATAAATTAAATAGGCAAAAATAATAAGAGACACCGCCGCCGAAGGTGGCCTGAATTTTTTAAGGGGGTAGGCAAAGGTTTTTGAAGGGGGTTTGCATTTAGTGAAAATCCTGTCATGTAGACGCTGCATAAATATAACGATAACAGAAGTCACGTTCCATATTTTAGTAACAAAATAGCAGTGAATATTGAAGAAATTACAGATGATGACAATGTAAAAGCTTTAGAGAAATATAACTATTTGATTAAACACTTACACAATATGCAATAAGGCGTCGACGATTACAATTGCCTATAGTGTTACAGTGAAAATTAACTATATACACTGATTATGCAGGTCTACAAAGGCAATGGATTCTCTATCTAATCATGATTCATACCATCATAAGCTGGATTAAAGTAATAAAAAACAGATATAAAGTTGTGAGGGGATGGTGCAAAGCAAAGATCAAAATCATAGGAATACCTCAAAGCAACGTGAGCTATGGGTAATACCCAAATTCTGGAGACAATTGTTGAGGATAGCAAAAAGATTTCTATATTAGACCTCATATGGCTTCTTCAATTAAAGACATCACAAAACATTTCCAGGTAAATTTAGAAGAAAATACTTTTAGCAGAACATCAAATATTAAGATTGATATCAAAATTTAAGAATAAGCCCGTTATGAATTAACAATCACAAGCAAGATCAAAATTAAGACCGACAAAAAGTACTCAAAAATACAAAGCAAGGAAAAGAAATATGAAAATGTGCCAAAATCTATGAAAGATTCAAATACGGGTCATAAGTTACATTAGCAAATGATAATCAAGGAATAGAGTTAACGATAAATAACAAATCTGAAACGAAATATAGCAGGGAAACTCTACCTACAAAAACAAAATATTTTCCCAAACGTTCCTAAAGGTATCACATCAATTCGGTGTAGAAAATTTGACTCATTACGCTGAAAATTGTCTCGACGTAAATTTAGCGTGGCGACAATACGACGCAGTTTCAATTCAGCGCTGCGTTAACTCAGCGCGGCAACAATCGTCGCGGCGTTGAGGGTTGGATATCATAAAATAAATTAATTTAATAAACAAATATTTATACTCTAATTTCTTTGGTGGACCAAAAAAATATTCAAATTATTTTTTTAAAATTAATGAATTAACAAAAGAGAAGTCACATACTAGAGATTAAATTTTCCAATCATACCCAATGTTAAATAATAGAGATTATACCTTTCGGTTAAAATCTTATATAAACATTTTTTATATCATTTTAACGTTACATTTTTTTAAATATCAATTTGTATTCCACATAATTGGTTATTTTTTTATTGTTACAAAAAAGATATAAAAAGAAAAATTGTTTATGGTTTAAGGAGTTAATAAAAAAAATGTAATTTATAATAAAATAAAATATAATTTATGATAATAAAATAAAATAAAATAAATTAAAATGATATGAAATGAAATGAAAATTCTGTCTTATTATAGATTATCTTATATAAATATTACACCCAATGATTGTATTAATTTAATAAATAATTAATGACTTAAAAAATAGTTTTTTTCTTTAAATCTATTAATCATTTTGAAAATAAATATTATTATTATTTAACATGACTTAATCTGTTAGTATACAATTTTCTTGCTATATTAAAATTTTACGACAGCTTTTTGCCATGAGGGTTACAAAAGTGACAAATTATTTTTAGATGTCAAGGTAATATAAAAAAAACAAAAAAATTGATGATGTATAATATAATATCTAATTATAAAAAGTATTTATGCTTAATTATATCCATGTTAAAGACAAATGGGAAAATAAAGTGACACGGATGACAAGGTATATGCAGATCAGCAAGCTCTAAAAAACTATTATAACTCGTGAACTACCGAACAAAGTAGAAATTATTTTTGCATATATATTACTTTACCAAAAAAAATATTACACCACTAAAATATCCAAACAAAAAATATAGAAAGAACATTGAGCAATAACGTATTTTAATTTAACCATACGTTTATAGGAGACTTATATATTAAAATGTCTTTAGATGGTAAGTAACACTGCATTAGAATATAACCTTAGTTGTTTTATCATTAATTTGGACTTTTATAATGCATGTAAATTGAGCATGCCTTTTGTCGTACTTTTTAATTTTTTTAAAAAAAGTAATCCCTTATTTGATTAAGGTAAACATTTTTTATTGGTATCGTCGATTCAAATCCTTAAAAAGGTTAGAAAAAAACGAAATGGTTTAAATAATTAAGAAAAGATTTCTAATGTGTCTTACCTTATGATTATTCTTTATTTGGGTAACAAGGTTTTGTAGGGCTTTCTTGATAAGAATACATAGTTATTAAAGAATAGGTCGCATTCCAACAAGCATTTGAAATAGTTTCTAAAGCTAATCAATGATGACCAATTTGCATGATATCATTTTGAAATGCATTATTTGCGCTTGCAACGCAGCGTTTGAAAACTTCAACTTGTGTGCATCATAAGGTAAAATCTAGATGGATTTGATAGTGCATCATTTATCTGTTATATTCAAGATAATTACATTTTATATTTTGAGAAATAAACAATTCTCGTTTTGTTAATAACAATCAATAAATTACTATTGCAATCATAAGAACACGTTAGTTCTTAATGACATTGCGCGAATTGTTGATACTTTTTTTAGAAATCGATTTTAAATATAAATGTATTCAACACTTTTAAAATGGAAGATATGTCATATTTTAATGATTATGCAAATCGTTCGTAATAATTTATCCAAACCAATATGGGATTTTTTCCCCTTTAACCATCTTCGGAACTTACACCACAATTCCAATACAAGTATTTTATTCAATCTGTGTTATAAATACAAACCTATACTAATGATTCATTTGAGCATAGGCGTACTCCCGAGAGGGGCTGGGGAGATGGGAGAGGGAATCCCCCCTTTTGGGAAACTTTTAAATTCTAGTAAATATTTTAAGTTTTAAAAAATTATCACCATAAACCTCCCCAACCCCCAAAATATAAATAAGATTGAAATATAATTATTTTTTAAAAAATATAACATTGCCAAACGCCTTCAATTAGTGTTGTTAAACGTCTCATTTTGAGCAGATTTTTTTAAAAAACGGATAACTCAGTATTTTCCCCAGAAAAATATTAGGCAAGCCTGAAGATATTGCTCATTAGAAGGTACAAAAGTCTTTGGCACATTAGCGAAATCTGGAGGCTTAATCAATTTTTTTTCCTGGCTCAGTGGCGTAGCTAGGAATTTTCCTTAGAGGGGGTCCATATATATAAAAGGATCGTC